TTAGTTTTCAGTGTTGTACCTGTTACACACTTCCCTGTCCAATGAGGAAAATCCTTTAACTCGCCTCCAAGAAAAATTTTGTATTGCAAAAGGGAAAACAAAGACCAAAAATCATTTTATTTCTGGAGAAATTGATAATGCACTTGTCAAACTGTATTTCTTCCAGTGACCTTGGTGACATTTTTAGTGAGAGCAGAAATGATTCCAAGATTCTTTCTGTGGACCCCACATGAGATATGGAACAGCGGACATTATTAATTTGAACACAGAGTAATTTATTGAAACCCAACACTCTATTATTAAAATATTGGACATTTTTCTCTTTCAGTCCCACTCATCACTCTAAATGAATCTATATTCTCTTTTCTTTATCTATTCCCCTACTTCCCAAAAAAGCCATCTGCTATTTCCTTTATGAAAAAATAAAACCTACAATTAGTGTCTTGTTCATCTTTTCTTTCTCAAAAAAAGAGAACTATTATGCAAATACTCTGCAATTTGGTTTCAAATACTCTTTGTAGTGTGATGAGCAATTTTCCTTAATACAACCCCAGCTTTTTTGCCAGGACTTACTGATAGATTTTTTAAGAGAGAACTTTCATGTGACTTTTTTACACTCTGCTGATGTAAACTTTTCAAGTGTGTATTTACGATAGAATTACTATTACTCCTTAAATTATAAAAGAAAAAAACAATGTTTATATATTTCATGCTGGAAAAGAAGCTTGATACAACCTCAAAGTGTCTCTTTAACCTGAAATTTTAGTATTTTTTTTAATCTTAAGAAATGGCCTGTACCAAATATCACTCTTAGGAAATTAGAGAGGTACGTTTCTTTGGCTTTTTTCTGGAAGCATATTATAAGTGATGACAATTTACCAGTCAGCCCAAATTTTTTCTTTGATTTCTTTCTTTCTTTTTGCTTCTCAGGAACTAAAGTATAGTTTAACCCAATTCATTCAGGTAGGCTAATTCAGAAGTTGAGGGTTGTTTTCTTGCTAACGAGACAAGTATCTACAGTGTGCAGTGCTGATGGAATGGAAGTCAAAAAATGTGCTATTTTTACTAGCACAATAAACACCACATTAAGATTCAGGAAGACATATTCACTTGTCATATGGCCTGAGGCAGTAATCCTACTCACCTCCCTGTCCTCACTTTACAGCTGAGAATTGCTACCTCTTTGACGTTTTATAGGGTTACAATACAGATCAAAACACAGTTGCATGTTACTGTTTTTGAAATGGATCATAGAGATGCACATTTAGTGGAGATGTTCTAGAAGTTCTCAGAGTTTCATATTTCCTACAGTGGCTTCTGGGGAGCTCGTTACAAATGGAGATTTCCGGTCCACTTCTAGGTCTAGGAGTGGGGTCAGGAAGCTACGTTTGGAGTATACTTAGGTGAATGGTATGCGCTTGAGAGACTGAGATCCATAGAAAAGAGAAATAGAGAGAATACAACAGAGCATATTTGAATGAATTAGATAGTTATTATTTAATGTCTAATTAAATATCTAATTTGTTACGTGATTAAGTTAGATATTTATTTTGATTAGATGTTTTGCTTATTTGTTGGTGTGTATGTGCCTGTTCATATATGTGCAGATCACAGTTTAGCACAAGAATCCTCTGGTTTTAATATTAATGAATATACTTTTAATACTAATAAATGTAGAATTAATTAATTAATATTAATAATAAATTTAATAATAGGTAGTTAAACTTGGCTGACATGCCTCTCTGTACTCTCCTTTGAACCAAAGTGATTTGCTTTATTTCACTTGTTTACTAAAATATACAGTAAGTAAAACCAGAATGTTTCCACCTCATTGGTTCAGATGGGGCCATATTAATAGTAATAACTCAAGTTTCTGCTTTGCTGATTATGTAGAAACTCCAGTACCCAATGAGCCTTTCCCAAATAGTTTAGGAAGTTACTGGGGGTCTCATACACAATCTTAAACCAGTCTCCTGGTTGCAATCTCCCTGTGATATCTACAGTGTCCCTTCTTACCCTTTCCTGCCCCATGTAGAGGCTCTCTGAACCACTAAAAGCTTCTACCCCTGGCACTGCTGACTGGTACCCCCTGAGGATGCCAATGCCCTTGCCAGAGGTGACGCCTCCCGTGGTGGTCTCATCCAGGAAGAACAGAAACTGGGCCTCTCCTCTGTTCAATACATCATCTGGTTTCTGGGGTGTCTGTAGAAAGGGGAATTGGAGGACATAACTTACTTGAGAGCCACATGGAAAATGATTTCAGCTTCCACCCATATGGACTCAAAAACCAAGTTCTCTGAGTGAGGCTGATACCATCCTGTCAGCTTATTTCTTCTGTTTGGTCCTGAATCACTCCTTTCTCCAGGCATGTGCCCATACTGCCCCACCCTGCCTCACTCAAAAACTAAAATGTTACACCTCATGTAAGAATTCAGCTACATTCAGTAAATTTATATACTCCATCAGACATACCCCATAACTGTGAATAATCTTTAGACTCAGCTGAGCTCAACCCCACTGAAAGAGTAGTGGAGGTTAAAATGAATAATGTCCTCAGAAACAGCTTTACGATAATAACAATAAAAGCCAAGAACTTCATCAAGGCTGATGATGAAAGACAGCAGTCTCTGGCCACCCTCCTACCCCATCCGCCACCCCATTTTCCATTGCCCAAAGCCATCACTTCCAACTTTTGGGCATTTCTCCTCTAGCTTAACTCTACATATCTGAATAATATGCCTTACACTGTCAGCTTTTGTTTTTTTCAGTTTTGTCTATCATGTAGTATTAACTTTTTTACTATGAACAACAAGAATACACCTTTCATTTCTTTTCCATCACCACCTTGCAGAAGTATATTTCCCTGCTCCCGATCTTCCAATATAGTCGTATGATGATCGCTTATTTCAGCATTCCATGTTTATGTTATTATAATTATGTAACTGATCCCAGCTGTGCTCTGTAGTAAATACAATTATCTTTTGTGCATTTCTTGTGTTTTACATCAAATCGTATTTTTTTTACTTTCACTTAGTTTTCTATGTATCTATGACTAATTTGATTTCAACTTCTGCTGGAAAAATAGATATCCTCTAAATGTACTTTCAGCTCATTAGATATTCTATCAATTCCATCTTCCTGGATCACCTTTCCCAGAGCAATATGCCTGACTCCAGCCTGGACCAGTTGTTGTCTCCGTCTGCTGCACATCTGTTATTCTGAAATATTCCATTATCGCTATTTTCTTGTTTCCTCAATTTCATGTACTCTTTTACCCCCACTCCCATCACCCCATCTATTTAATATACACATCTAACAGTGAAACGAACTATCTGGCATAAAATTGTTTAAGAACAGGTATATCGGAACATGTCTGTATATTATTAACTCACCTTGTTAAGAATTTTCCTGGACATAGAATTTGAGGTTTGAACAAAAGTCATCATTTTGGAGACACAGCTTCATTTGGAGGAAGGAAGTAGAGAGTGGTCCCAATTTTCACCCTGTATCAATTTGCCTAATGCTATTTTAATCAAAGCACTTCTCTTTCCAGTGTGTGTAAAATCTGTAGTTCACAGTCCTTTTGGTTAGTCTCTCCTAGTGGTGGAGGCGGTGTGGATCATTTAAGTTCTTCCTAACTGTACTTGGAAGCCACCCTGCTGAAGTCACATGCTCCCACTCGGCTTACAGAGGTCTGAGGTGCTACCGCCCCTTGGCCTTTGGTGGTGTCCATCTGTGGTATAAATTGGATTTCTTCTCAATCCCAACCCCCTGCTGAATCAGGCTTCAGACTTCTTTTTTGCTAAGTTGGTTGCTACTAGTAAGCCACTTCCTACTTACAGAATTCTTTCCTGATTGCTTCCTCTCTACCTGGTGTCTGGCTTTTTTAATAAAATGGTCCTTTATTGTTGATATAGTGTTATTAAGTGCCAATGGAAGTAAATGCCTTATTCAGTTTGCCAAGCCATCTTAAACAGAAGCTCACTGTAGCATCCTGTCCTAGATGATATTTTTTATTTTGAAAAATTTCAAAGCTACAGAAATTGTTCAAGAATAGTACCATTAGGATACCTTCATGTAGGGAAATGATTGATAATAACTGTCACATGTATCACAGCCCTCTGTGGCTGTGTGTAAGGTCTGATTTGCTTCAAATTCTAATGAGGACATTTAAAATAACTTTTTCTTGGAAACTCACTTTAGAAGGCACCTAAACATTTTATTTCCATTAAGCAAAAGTACCTTTATGATTATGATAAAAAACCTAGAATTGTTTTCTTATTTCATGTAATTATAAATTTAAAATAGATAAGTTTGTATAGTCCACATAGCTCTCAAGTTTTATAATTCTCTGAATAAGATGTCACCAATAAGTTTTTAACTAAAATAAATTTGAATTAAGGCAAAGTTAGGAGCAAAATATTTATTAAAGTATTCCTCTATGTAAATATACAATGAGTATATTGTTTATAATTGTTTAAGTTTTGATAATTATAATTTATAAATTTTACCTGTATAAATTTTAGAATCCACATGAATAATAGATGACTTAAGTTTGTTTCACCTTATTGAACAAATTAACTGCATTTGTATATTATTGTACTAGAGAACTGAGACCAAATGTTAAAAATCCACAATATAAGACAGGTTTCAGTTTTAACTTATCTGGCAGTAAATAACACATAATATAGTCTTTATTACAAAAGAAAAAATACTGCCATAAATTTTATATGCACTTATTCTAAAACATTTTCTTTTTTGATAAACATGTAGGGTTGGTTTTCCCCTTAATTTTACGTGAACCAAATCACTAAGAATATAATAGCAACATAGTGTCTTCATTTGGGATGGATTTCTTTGAGTGAGAGTACATTTCAAAACCCTTATCAGCACCATTAGTGCAGTGCACGTAACTATATTTGTAAATAACTTTAAATTTGAATAATGGTGTTTTTTTTGTGTGTGTATATATATATATATATTTTTTTTTTTTCTTACAGGAAGCTCTAATCATGGCAAGTATGGACCATCCACACTTAGTCCGGCTATTGGGTGTGTGTCTGAGCCCAACCATTCAGCTGGTTACACAGCTCATGCCCCATGGCTGCCTGTTGGATTACGTCCATGAACACAAGGACAACATCGGATCACAGCTGCTGCTTAACTGGTGCGTCCAGATAGCTAAGGTAAGTGCCCATCACAGCCTGTGGAAGTGACTTTTCTAGCTTTATAGTTCCTGATCTAGAACTGTTTGGATATTGAAAACATGTCTAATTTTTCAATCTATTGAAATATATTATACTTGCAGATGTATTATAGGGAGGTATTTACTTTCAAAGCAGGGACCAAATATGTGATATCTGTTGACCAGATGACAAAACAAATAGCTTATTGGGTAGTGGGGAAAGGCATATACTTATATTTGATAAGGAAAAAGAAGAGGAAATCATGTTCCACCTTCACCTCTACTGCTAAATAGAAATAAATCAATTCCTTAAACAAAACCTAAATGAAGATTCTGCCTCAAAATGCAATTTTAGGTCCTACAGAATAGAAATCCTAAAAAACACTGCCTACATAGAGGGCTCATACAGAAACACATAGATTTTACTACTTATTCTGAAGAGGCAAACACAGAGCACAAATTGACATCCTAAAGAAAATATTTTGTTGTGTAAATAAAAGCCAAGGAAAGCACTAGAAAAATTATGTGGAAAGGACAAAAGTTTCTTTAAGGAGCGGTGTCTCTTTTAAAAAACGAATAACAGAACTTGTTAAAATTTTGGCACATTAAAAAGATAAACCCAGAAGACTATCTAGTTTCATGATTTAAAAAAAAAAGGCATGAAATTGTTTTGTCAAGTGAACTTTTACCTGAAAAACCAAACAAATCAAAACAGGCCGCGGCTCCAGCAGCAAAAGCATGTTGAGAAGGGTTCGTTCACAGTCCCGGGTCCAGACAGAGATCAGCTCATTGAAGTCCACCTGGTGCACCTGTGCTGAAGATATAGACTGGATTGTTTGGCTTTCTGTTTGTTCTGGTGTGGTTTAGTGAACAAACAAAGTCCAAAGAAAAAGAGATTAAACGTCTTAATTGTTCCATATTTAGGTGATTTTATGATAATAACATGTACATTAAATTCTCAGTATTACAAATGGTCCAATTCTAAATACTTTTCTAGACATTTTGATGATGTCCAACTGGTCTTCAAAGGTTGGGGATTCTATCAGTCTGGCAGCAGGTCTCAGACCTGCGGGGGCACTCATGAGGGACGTGGCCTAGATCCCGGTACCTGGACGGATGAGGGAGGTGGCTCTATGGTGAAGTTAAGAACGGCTACTCCACTGTGGGAAACTGTGGTTTCCCCACCCGTTTTCTGATTTTTCAATTTTTTAGATAGGGGCCAGAACTGGATTTTTTATGTGACTTCTCCAAATTTAAATCTTGGCTCAAACTGAACTGCTCTGGGAGCCACGTAAATCATTCCTGTTTTGCTGTCTGCCAGGGCTCGGATCCTGGGGCCTTTTCTTCACATGCAAGAAACCACTCAGGACTACCTATACCAAGGATGTTTCTTGAAAACATTCTCCGCCTAGATGTATAGGGCTGAGATAAGTTTTAATTCACTGTTTCAACTCTTACATACATCAAAACATGACCCAATGTTCTGTACATTCTGTAGTTATGGTCATCTTTGCCTTTGTCTGACATAAATGGCAAAATGTTAACTTAGTAGGCCTAGCCTGTTTCTTTTTATAATCTAAGGATAATGAAGAATACATTTCTCAAAGCAGAAATGTGAGATAACTCATAAAATGAAAACCAATAAAACTATTTGAAGGAAAATCCCAATTTACACACCATCAATTTCAATATAGTTTCTTATGGACCCTGTATTATAACTTTGTGAATATCGCATGACAAACTTACAACTGGGAGGATTCTTTATAGTAATGAAGTTTTACATGAAACTCTTCAAAAAGTGATTTACTTATCTAAGAATGTCTATAATTTATAAGGTGAGCTAAATATGCAATAAGAATTCTCAAATCATCCTAGCACTATAAATGAAAACAAAACTGAGATTCAAAATTTTTTTAGCTCTTCTCTATATTTCCTGCAGTGTTTTCTATAATTTAGGTTTTATCCTCAGGGATACATGGCATTAATATATCATTTATGCAAGGCTGTACACTCTAATAATAGAAACTTCTTTGAGTTCCCTGAATAATCACACTGTTTTAAACTTTTTTTGCCTTTGCAAATGCCATCTCTTCTGCTCAGAAATCTTTTCTCGTAGTGTTCTTTTTCAGCCATCAACACTGATCGGGCTTCCTCCTCTTACACAGCCTTCTGTAGTCAACATCTCTCTTTAAACAGAAGTAATTCTTCCTCTTCTGTATTAGTTTTGATTGTTGGTATCTTGAACATATTTTTATTATTTAAATGTTGTGCTACATGTTTACCTACCTCTCTGGCTGGATGGCAAATTCATTTAGTCATTAGTTGTTCAATGCGTATTTGTGGCCACCTATTATGTGCCAGGTGCTATGCTGACTAACGAGTGTTCTGGTGCAGGATGTCAGCACGGGCCTGTTTCTCTCTGTGTACCCCAAGAACGTGAACAGATGTCTAACAAATGCAATAATTAAGTATAGGATTAAACACTGTGCTTCAGCTTTTGAAGAAAAATAATTATGGGGGAGACTTCAGGGATGCATGGTGGTGCTGCTTCCTGAGCTGGAGAAAGCGACGGATGGATCTTATTTGCTGGAAAAAAATCAAAAGTTAAGTTAATATAACATGAAACTGGAGCTGTCAATTAGATAGTTGAATTTGATCAGGACAGTAGATACAGATTTAGGAGTTATAGGCATTGAAAAATATGGGAATATAGGGTATGAAGAGGGATTGACTAGGTCTGATTCATATTTGTTCTCAGCACATAAAATTGGATCTTATATAGAGTAGCTATTCAATAAAAATATTCAATAAATATTTTCTCTAGTAAAGAAAGCTGAAAAAAAAATCTACCTTTGGGGAGAGAATCTTTCCTTGATCTTTTTTCTTACTTTGGCGACAGAACTGGTAGTGGAAACAACATCAGGGTAAGAAGGACCTACATTGTGTTGAGGGCCACTGTTTGGTTTTGTGAGTTTGAGTAAGTTATTCATTCTCTGAATTGTATTCTCACATGGAGTTAATAATTATTACATTTTTTATCTGCAAAATGAGAAGAATAGTATCTACCTATGGTAGACTAAAAAACAAACCCCTGTCCCCAAAGACGTTATACACTACCCCCAGAACCTGCAAATGTTTCTTGACATGTTAAAAAGGACTGTGGAGATATGGTTAAAATAAGGATTTTAAATGGGGAGACTGTCCTGGATAATACAGGTGGCCCCAGTGTAATCCAGGAAAATTTATGAGTGGTGGGCAGAAGGATGGAGTCAGAGAGAGAAGATACAAAGATGCAAACAGAGTTGGGATGACGAGTTTGAAGATGGAGGGCTGGCCATGAGCTGAAGGGTTCACTCTACTTCCAGAAGCTGAGAGAGGCCAGGAAACCGATTCACCCCTACAAACTCCAGAAGGACCCAGGCCTGTCAACACATTGATTTTGGCCCAGTGAAACTGGTTTTGGACATCCGGGGCTGTAAGAAAATAAGTCTGGATTGTTTCAAGCCACTGGAATTGTGGTAATTATTTACAGCAATAGAAAACAAATACATTTCTTCATAATGATTTGCAAAGATCAAATAAAGTAGCCTACGGAAGGTCCCTGGCTCGGTTCCTAGGACACAGTGTTTAAAAATAATCTCCTTATCAGCTATAGGCTGAAAACCATGAAACAGAGACCTGTTTTAGAAATGTCTGTAAAATATGAGTAGCATAGTCTGAGTTAAGACAGGTATTTTAAAAATAGATATTTCAAGAACTTAGAGTCTTATGTTTTTTTGCTTTCAATTCTCATCAAGAGAGACTCATGAACGTAAGAGAAATATCAGCCTCATTATACCAACACCTACTTTCATTTTGGTTGTATCCTTTTTTGTTGTGGACACAGCTGTGAGGAGGAGAGATGGTACTGTAAAATAACAGCTTATATTTGTGTTGTAATACATCTGTGGAAAGTTTAACAGTGTGCGGAAGCAATAATAATTATATCTAACATGAAGTTCTTACCCTATGTGAGGACAACAGTATATTTTATTCATTAATTAATTTGCCTCATCACAAACCTATGAAGTTAAGTATTATTATGTCCATTTCACAGAAAGAAAGTAAATCATGGAGAATTTAAGTAACTTGATTAAAGTCACACTAACAAATAAATAGCAGATTCACTAATCTATGTTTTATAAATGAGGAATAAATTATTTAAAACTATTTTCATCTATATTTCAAGTATTTTTCACTCTTCCATAGTTTTATTATTTTACAATATGTTATACAACAGAAAACAGAAATTTAAATGCCAAATTCTTTTGTGTTTGCTTCTTATCACAGCCATATTTTCTCTTCATGTGCTTCATTTGAAACTTGCTTTAACTTGGTAAGCAGAGCAGAACACTCGATTAGTTAACAGTCATATAATACCTTCCAGGGGTTTTATGAAGCCTGGAAGATAATAGTGACAGTTGCTTCTTTTATATTTGTTACTAACAAGTTGGGCAAATGGTTTCTTAAAAGACAATTTAGCAGATTCTGAAAAGTGTGTTTGAGTTTGCGGTGAAGTAGCTCCATGGTCAATAACACTGATTTGTACTCACTGAGTCCCTGTGGATGAAGGACCTCTTACACTCCTGGCATCTGCTTGGTGCTATTTGCATATTGTTTTATTCAATATTTCATGAAACTCTAGTTATGATAATGCCATTGTTCTCCTACTTTATACATGAGGAAAATGGGAGAAGTAAAGTCCTAAAGAACACAACAATGGGTGTGACCCCTGGATTCCATACCAGGTCCCCAATGTCGGAACCAGGTCTTTAAAGTAGTCTGCACTGTTCTCTCTAAACTCACACACACACACACACACACACACACACACACACACACCACCACCACCACCACCACCACTGCCATTTGAAGGCACTCACTGTCCTCTAAGAGCACCTCTGAACTTGAGGGGTTCTGAAGAGTGTGAATTTTATCTGTGGTTGTGACTCATCATTAACC